TCATGGACCGACTTCACACAAGAGCTGCGCCATGGTCGCGCCTCCCTTTGCCCCACTTCTATTGGTCAATTTCCCACTCAGAGCTGTGTGGCCACATTTTGACCTGCGGCTTCCCCCGATTTCCCCCAGGGATGATTAGTATCTTGGTTAGTACCAAGGAGCCCTAAGGCTGCTACGCAGGGGCAGACAATGGCAAACCACCTCTTCATCTCGCCTTAAAAACCCTACAGGATCACCATACATTGGCTGTGAATTGACAACACTTTCCACTAGTAAGTGGCTGGTTCTGTATCAGTTCTAGTAGCTGTGCTGTGGAAGTGAACTGTTTTAAGTGCTTCAAGATCTGTGCAGGACACCACTTGGAAACCTTCTGTTAAAGTTTGCTCCTAAAACAAGTGTGTCACAGTATTCTGGTCTAAATTATCATCAGGAGCTGTAACTGGTCCATCATTGGTATTAGCCACAAGGTATAGATAGGGACTCTGGGGCAAGTGATGCTCTGTCTTCTTGATGGTACCGATCTGACTGGATGGCCCTTTGGCCTGATCCAACGCTGGCGTCTCTTATGTTCTTATGTTCTTAACTGGTCTGGAGAAAGCTGTGGCAGGATTGCACCCTAAGCCTCTTTTCCCCCCCTTCCTGTAGCCACTGGAAACTTTCATCAGTGCAGATGATGATGGACCCATCTACAATTCGCACAACGATGGAGTCACCTATGCTGTACTAAACCAACACTCCCTAAAGACTGAGCGGGCGGCTGTCCCTGGCAGAGCCCCTGAGACTTGCGTCTATGCATCCGTGGCCAAAGACAGTATCCGGGAGGAGCGATAAGCAGGACGTTTCCAGGGTGTGGGTACTTTGCGGGCCCTGGTGTCACTCTGAGTTCTTTGTTCAGGTTGGTTCATGCAGGCAAGACCCACTTATTTCCCCAAGCAATCATATCCATTCTGTATGTGACCGCACCCCCCAAAAAAAATTAGGAGAAGCCAGGAGTGGTACAGAGCCAGACAGCAGTCACAAAGGTGTTTCAGTGGACAGATAAAGGGCATTGCTGTAGGTAGGAACAGGCATATATAGTGTTGATTTAGGGATGCAAGATATGTGGTAGCTACTGTGTCCCATAGTGAAGGGACCTTGGAGAGCCAGTTTGGTGTAGTGGTTAAGTGTGCGGACTCTAATCTGGGAGAACCGGGTTTGATAACCCTCCCTTAGGGTGTCCCAGAAAAGAAAACTGCACACATTAGATTTTGGTGCTGTGGTTTTTGCTTTCAGCTGCATACCAGTTAGTTTTCAGTTCAGATTCTGCTAAAATCAGAAAAAGAAAACAGATGAGGGTGGAACTTTTCATGCACAGAAAATATGTGAAAAGACAGTGGACTTTTTAGGGATAAAGCAGACTCCTGGCACCCTCTACTGGATACCTATAGGATACGTTTAGGACTCTTGTCATCTCTACTTTATATAAAAGAGACAGAGAAGAAGAAGAGGAGATTGGATTTATACCCCGCCCTTCACTGCCCAAGGGAGTCTCAGAGCAGCTTACAGACTCCTTTCCCTTCCCCTCCCCACAACAGACACCCTGTGAGGTAGGTGGGGCTGAGATGCCAATCAGAGGATTATTACTCAAATTACCACTGTCTTTTGTAACCAATTATGCTGTTTTGAATATTGTTTTCTTGATGATGTCAGTCCATGTATAAAATATCATGTATTTCCTGAATATGTTCAGAATAGGTTCAAGGAGAAGATGAAGAAGAAAAAGAAGAAAGTTGTCAATTTTTGATGAGTTATTTGGTCTAATTGTTTTCCTATTAATTGAAGCATATTCAGGGAATCCTCAACTGCATGCAGTGCCAGTCCTGAACCAACCAAGTTGTTCCAGTTTTAGTCCATTGAAATCAGTAGGTTTAGACAGGAGTAACTCGGCATATGGCTGCAGTGTTGATTTATTATTATATTTTTACCATCATGTAAGGTTGCATTACCCCTCTGCTGAAAGCCCTTTTCTGCTTGATGTATGTTATATTCATTTATTCTGCACTTGTTTGTCCACCGTGGATTTAAGAGCCGTGAGGGGGGTGGTTCTTTCAATTAAACACACATTCGGGAAAAAATTGTTCTAAAACATGTTATCAACAGTTCCAAACATACTTTAGCAGCTAAAGCCCCCAAACAACCATCCAAACACTAAAGTGGTACTGGGGTTGCCAACATCCAGGTAGCACCTGGAGATCTCCCACTATTACAATTGGTCTCTAGCAGGGATCATTTCCTGCAGGAACGCACAGGAGAGGAGCACTGGCAGTAAAGAGCCCAGGGGGCGGGCACAGGCAACAAGCCCCACCCCCTGCTTCCATCAGCCCTCAGTCAGAGCAAGAAGCAGCCAGGTAAGTTTCAGAGCCCCCCCCCATCCAAAACAGTCCAGTGGCACCTTTAAGACCAAGTTTTATTCAGGTACAAGCTCTCCCTCCTCTGCGAGGACAGATCTGCAGGTTCCCCCGCCCCCAATAGCTAGCAATCCAAAACAGTCCAGTGGTGCCTGAGCGGTGGGTGTTGCCTTCTGACACACTTCCGGTGATGTCAGGGGGTGTGGCACATATATAAGGCAGAGTTGGGCCACAGGAACAATTCTCACTAGGAGGATTTCCGGTATCAAGGGAGTCTCAGAGCAGCTTACAGACTCCTTTCCCTCCCCCTCCCCACGACAGACACCCTGTGAGGTAGGTTGGGGCTAAGAGAGCTCTGACAGAAACTGTTCTTTTTCAAGAACAGCTGTGCCAGAACTATGGCTTGCCCAAGGTCATCCAGCAGCTGCAAGTGGGGGAGTGGGGAATCAAAGTCGGTTCTCCCAGATTAGAGTTCGTGCAATGAACCACTACACCTAAGAGGCCCCAGATCTGGAACTTATAAGGCATTGGAAATTCACCTGCTAAAATATGCAGGGAGTGTGTGAAAATAGCACCTGGAGATCTCCCACTATTACAATCGGTCTCCAGACAACCAAGATCAGTTCCCCTGGAGAAAATGGCTGCTTTGGAGGGTGGAGGCTATGGCATTCTATCCCACTCCCCTCCCTAAACCCCGCTTTTCCCAGGCTTCACCCTTCAAATCTCCAGGTATTCCCCAACCCAGAGCTGGCAACCCTACCTCCAGGCAGTATCTGGAGTTCTCCTGGAATTACAACTCATCTCCAGACTGCAGAGATCAGCACCTGGAGAGCTCCCACTATTACAATTGGTCTCTAGACAGCCAAGATCAGTTCCCCTGGAGAAAATGGCAGCTTTCGAGGGTGGACTCTACGGCATCACAGTCCCACTGAGATCCCTTCCTGTACTCTGAGATCCCTTCCTGTACTCTACCTCGGCACTACCCCCAAATCTCCAGGAATTTCCCAAGCCAGAGTTGGCAGCTTTATGTGCTGCCCTTTGCAGTGCTATAGAACGTTTATGTTCATGCATTTCCACACATGCATGCTAGATGCAAAAGGCATCCACTCCCCATTCAGAGATTTAGCTTCTACAGACTCAGGGAAGGGAACTGAATATGGCGGAATGGCCACACAAGCAACTCACACCTGGGCTGGATAAGTGCCTGGGAAGAAAAACTCTTGGGAATCCACCCGAATGCCACCTTGAGTTGTGTGATGTAAGAAGAGCTCTGTAAGCTCTTGGAGGGTTGGCTACATTAGGGGTGTGTGGTCTAATATGCAAAGGAGTTCCTGCTACAAAAAGAGCCCAAACAAATAAACTGGGGGGATGGTAAAGAGAAGAGTGGGGATTACAATGCTCCCTCTAAACTGCGGAGTCTTGTGAGCAAATTTCGGCTATGGCATAACTTAGTTTGCTCTGGAGCCATGCTTCTTGAGCTAAAACAAAAATGTGTGAGCTGGAGGCTAAAAAACTGTGAGCTAGCTCACACTAGCTCAGCTTAGAGGGAACACTGGTGGGGAAAGCACGTTGCTCACCCAAAAACCACCTGACATGCCCCAGGGATACTGACAAAGTTGTAGCCCTGCCTGTGAAGTCCCAGGTGCCCACCCCTGGAGCAGGCCCTACAGCAAAGCAATAAGAAGTCCCCATCGCTGGAGCCCAATGGCTAGAGTAGGGATGTGGGGGAATGAATCCTTACCTAGGGAGCTGTTCTCAAGAGCTGCATTGGGCACTTTGCTCTTGTTTGCAAACCACTTCCACCCCCTTCTTAAAGCAGACCCTGGTGCAAGCACAGGCTCAAGACATCTCAGCGCTCCTTCTTAAAGCAGACCCTGGTGCAAGCAGAGGCTCAAGACATCTCAGCGGTAAAGGCTGCTTTCTCCTAGTGGCCGATCAACAGCAAGAGCAGGGACTAAGGTTCCACTGCTGTCATGAGCATCACTATCAAGTATCTTTTCCCCAGGCTGAGGGATGAAGTCCATCCAGAGCAATCAAGGGCATTAACATGGCCACTTTATTTACTTACTTCCAAGATTCATAGCTCGCCTTTCTCTCCAAAACTCAAGACGGATTACACAGTACGGTCACTAACAAAAGATACTTCAGAGACACAAAAATGTCCACAGAAAGGTGCAAGGCAAATAAACTTGGACTTTACTAAGAACCAAGTCAGCACGAACAGAAATGCAGAATAATGCTTCTCAAAATGTTTTTACGGGGACCTGGCCAAGTGTCACTTGTGGAGAGATTTGTGGCTTAGGTCCCGCTTGGCTTGTACCACTTTGGACTGCAGGTGAAAACCACACAACCCTAAAGGACATCTTTACACAAAGGAAACTAGCATGTCACGGGGCAAGTATAGTCGAGAATCTTGACGTTCCCTCCATGAAAGAGAGTTCACACACTGGGTGTATGTGTGCAAACACATCTCAAAGATAAGAGCTATGCAGGAGCCATAAATAAAACCTGCTCCATATTTTGATAAACTACAATAAATCTGAAGATTCCTTAAACATGCATCATCTGCTTTTTGCCTTCTGCAATGGCCTTCCAAATACAGAGGACCAGGAATTGCAAACAAGGCTGACAGGAACCGTGCCTCTTGCTGACCACTAGGCAGAAGGATTGAGCAGAAAACCAAAAGCTTATCCTCACGATGAACCCAGGAGTGGAAAGAAGGTGGGCTGAGAAAAAGGGAGGATAAAAACTCTTGCACTGAGACAGTCAAAATTCTGCCCCCTTAGATGGACACATGTGGATTCATCATGTGAAAACTAGCTACCAAACACTGCCGTTCTTCACTTAGAAAGATTTTCAGCTAGCTGAAGTCTCTCAGTTCATCTAACTGGCCACCAGCTCTGAAGAAGTGAGCAGTGACTCACAAAAACTCACACTTAGGTAGCGCCTGGAGCATTGTCGCGGAAAGCAAGCAGTTGGGCAAGGGATGTGCGATCATTTGAACCCGCTTAGAAATATCCCCGATCAAATCTACAGCGGGAGCAAATCGCGGTACGCTTGCCATATGACCACAGTCTTAGTCTTTGAGGTGCTACTGGACTCTTACAGTTTCTACTGGCCAGGTTATTTTCTGCTTCAGTCTGATGTGGCCTTTGATGTCTTTCTTATCTTCATTATTTGTAGACTTGGACCCAATCCTGCCAAGATACCGATGAGAAGCCCATTCTACAAAATAAAAATCTCCTGACCAGCTCCCAAAGATCTGCCCATGAATGTGGCTGCTCTGGTTTTATTTCAGATACTTATAATCAGTGTTCCTTCTAAGCTGTGGAGTCTTGTGAGCAAAAATTCTACTTTGTGAGCTACGGGCATTAAAGTTGTGAGTGAGCAATCTGGCTACTGCATAAATTAGTTTGCTCTGGAGCCCTCCTTCCCGAGCTAAGA